GGCGGCCGCTCCCTGCCCTCCCGCCGCGCCGGATGCGGGTGTCTAGGAGCTGCCGAGCGCCGGGCGGGGGAAGAGCTGGGCAGGCCACCGCCACTGGGGCTGACCCAGCCGGGCAATAAGGAGGAAAGGCAGCTGGGAATATGATCAGTGGGTCTCATCCTGGGGTCGCGGGACCCTGCATCCAGGGCAGTGGTTCACAGAAGTGCAGGGCTGGAAGGGACCTCATGAGATCAGCAGGTCCAGCCCCGCTGCTTCTCAACCTTTTTGTACCAGGACCCTTTTGTAAGCATCAGTGGCCAGTCCCGACCCAGTAAATAATAATTTAAGTAGAAAACAGTCCCCTGGCCCTGCAGGTGCCCCTCACACCCAACCCTAACTCTTGGCGGGGCCCCAAGCAGCCCCTCGCAGGCTGAAGCTCTGCCAGCAAACCCATCTATCCCCACCTTTTTTTCTCCTTTAAGGGAGAATTGTTGTTTGATCCATTTTTGAAGTTTGTTCACAACCCTTTCTATTCTTGCAACCCACTGTCGGGTCACAACCCACAGGTTGAGAAATGGTGGTCTAGGGGGTCCATCAAAGATGACCATGATCAATGGAAAGTATGTGAACACCTGCATGTACAGTTCAGAGGGTCCGCACTTCCATTCCAATTTTTCTAGGGGTTTGCAAATGAAAAAAGGCTGAAAACCACTGGCTTAGATCAAATCCGGAGTAATTAACACCCATGGGTTCATAAGACAGTGGAACCATTCAAGGGAGCGTGAAAGGTGGTATTGATGCCTGGGGACGAACAAGGCTTGCCATAAAAGTAGACACTTTTGGCTGACGGTGTCTGCACAGCATGCTGAGAGTGGAGGGGTAAGTTTCCAGTCTGGAAAAACAGGAACAAAGCAGGAGAGAGACCACTAAGGAAACCACTGCACAAAAGGGAGTTTCAGGTTTGGGTGTGCAGCAAGAACGCACAGTTCTAAAGCATTGACTGAACTGGACACCAGTAAAGAAAGGGAACTGTGGAAGACCAAGAGACAAGCCATTAACAAAGATATAGGTGAACTAGAAATCAGCTAGGAAGAAATGGAAGAATTACTAGGCACTGCAGTCTTGGGGAGGGGGGGGGAGAAAAAGCTGTCTGCTTTATTCATGACATGGCCCAGAAAGAAATTAGCCAAGACATTGCTGAGTCCTTTTGATTAGTACTGAGTTTTCTCAACCTCCAGTTAAGTCAAATGAGGTGTTTGTCAAGCTATGCCCTTGGTTCACAACAAGCAACCATGAACTCATAGCTATAGGGCAACATGAGAAGTCTTTAGTTTTGCTTTTGTGTTCTCACTACAGAAAAT